ATATCCAGCTTCTCATCCACCTCAATTCCCAGGTCCTTTTCTGCTGAACTGCTGCTGTGTCAGTTGGTCCCCATCCTGTAACAGTGCTTGGAATTCTTCCATCCCAAGTGCAGGACTCTGCACTTGTCCTTGTTGAACCTCATCAGATTTCTTTTGAGCCAATCCTCCAATTTTTCTAGGTCTCTCTGGGTCCTATCCTTGCACTCCAATGTATCTACCTCTCCCCCTAGCTTAGTGTTATCTGTGAACTTGCTGAGGGTGCAATCCATCCCCTCATCCAGGTCATTAATAAAGATGTTGAACAAAACCAGCCCTAGAACCAATCCTTGGGGCCCTCTGCTTGAAACCGACCGCCAACCAGACATGCAGCTGTTGATCACTACCCATTGGACCTGACAATCTAGCCAGTTTTCCATCCACACTTACATTATCCAATCCACACTTCCTTAACTTGCTGGCAAGAGTTTTGTGGGAGATCATATCAAAAGCTTTGCTAAAGTCAAGTACGGGCTTTGATCTTGGGCCAAGGGGTTTGGAGTGTGGGAGAGGCTCTGGGCTTAGCCTAGTGCAGGGGATTGGAGTCCAGAAGGAGTTTCAGGGTGCAATGTCTAGGAAGGCGTTTGGGTGTAGGGGGACTCATGTCTGGGGCAGGAGGTTGGGTGCACGAGGAGATTCAGGGCTGGGACAGGTGTTGCAGGCTCTCGCTGGACACCGTTTAACTGAGACGGTTCCTGGGAGGTGGAGCAGTAGAGTTAAAGCAGGTTTACTCCTGCCCTGGCCCTAAACCACTCCTGTAAGCAGCTGGCATGTACACCAATGGCTCCATGGCACCATGTGCTGCCCCTCATCTACAGGCACTGAGCCCACAGCTTCTACTGGCCACAGTTCCCTGTTATTGATCAATGGAGCTGCAGGAGTGGTGTCTGCAGGCAAGGACAGCATGTGGAGACCCCCTGCTCTGCCTTTCTCAGGGGTTGCAGGGACATGCCAGCCACTTCCAGGAGCAGAAATTGCAATAGGGATAGTGACTCCAGCCACGACCGGTTAGGCATTTTAGAACTCACTACTCAAAGAGTTACATTTAAGCGTAAGAGAGAAATGAAAGTTATGAAGTGCATAGACCAGTCAAAAACCAAAAATAACCCACTTTGCAAGCAGCTGATTTTCCGGAAAAACTGGCCAGTCTAGACACAGACAGTGTGTGAGAGTGACAGGGATTTGCATTGCCAAGCTCCCACCATCCCCTTCTCTCTGTGTGGCAATAGGGAACAGAAATCAGGGAAGGAGGGACACCCTGACATCAGTGTCCCCCCCTTTTCCCTCCCATACCCCGCACAGCAATCAGGAGGCCCCCAGGGGGCAGCTCCAAGGAAGAGGGCAGGAGCAGCATGTCAGTGGGGGGAGTAGCAGATAAAGTGCCAACTTATGATAGCTTCCCAGCCAAACCAGTCAGGATCCCCTGTCAGAAGCTTCAAGATCTACTGGTACTGGTTGGTGACCATTGCTCTAGTGTGACAATTAGCAAAGTGTCTTTATTGAAATGGATAGTCTTGTATGGCTCTAGTCCCTGGAATTCACAAAATCACAGGTCAGTACTGAGCACAATTTATATCCAGTGCATTGACACAGCTGTACTGCCATATGTTGATGCTAGTTATTCTGTGTATGTATGTGTAGCTAGATATAGATACAGATGATATAGATATAGATGTAAATATAGACAACATAAATTGTAGTTGCTAAGTTACCAAACTCTTCAAGATAAATTTGAAATAAAATTTCTGTCCCATGGCTTAGTAAAACTCAATTTTTGAGACTCCATCACTGTCCTCCAGTTCCCCCCAAATGCCTTTCCCCTATGTATATCTGTCATTGCAGTCACAATACTGTTCACCCAGCTGGGAAGGCCAACAATCTGCTGCTTTTGGGGCTGCCTGCCAAAGATGGTCTGTGGAGCAGACAGCAGGGTGTGCTGATAGTGCAAAATGGTCAGCTCCCTCCCTTCTGCCTCTCTTCTTACCTCCTTTCACTTTACTTGGAATTGGTGCACAAAAGGCAATTCCACTTTTCAAGACTGTTCAGTTTGCATTTGGTTGCAAAGTGTTTTCAACTGAACAGTCACTTTCTGTGCAGGCAGTGACAGCTCAATCGGGGGCAAGGTTTTCTTTCAGTCCTTGTCATGTTAGGCCATGTCAAATTAGACATTTGAGACATTCCTTTTTTGTTTTGCATCATGGGCTAAGATGCCAAATATTGGGAAACAAACTAAATGTTTGCATCTTTTCACCGTTTGAATGCGTCCCACAGCTTACCAGTGTTCTCATTCATTATTGAATCGGGGAACAAGGTTTTCTTGGTTCATGGACCTCCAGGTCCCATATGTCTGAGGAGTCCTCTACTCCAAAGCTATTGCCTAGACCAAAGGCATATTCTAAAGGGTTTATTAAGCCATTACCCTTACAAATCAGTGACTTAGGAAGTTGATGGAAGTAGCATATTCAAATGTCAGGATGTCCCTTCTTTTCATTTTAGGTTGCTATTATTACTTCATTTCCTCTTCAGCGTATTTGTTACATTATGGCAGTAATTGAACTGTGGATAAAAATGTCCACAGCTGGTGAATTTCATGGGTGGGAACTCAAAGTCTGGATGATTATATGTAATAAGAAATGTCTTGGCATTTCACCCCCTGAGATTTTTTGTTATTTCATTGAAACCTACCACTTTAGTTTCTCATTGCAAATCGGCCAGATCCTTCCTTTCCCCCCCCCCCCCCCCACTTTTTTGGCCAGTCTTCCTCAGCAAATGATTTAAGAGATTTCTAGACACTAGTTCTATGGCAGAAAAGGCCAGCAACCTCTCAAGCCATTAAGATCTGGAGCCTGTTGATACTTAAGCATGCCATCCTCTTTACCATAAGAATGAAACTCACAACACTTGGTACTCCTTTCTACCCTTCCCAACCATTCCCATCAAAGGAAATTAATTACACTCTTTACAAAAAAAAAAAAAAAAAAAAAATCATCAACAGACAATGACCACAAGGAGAATTTTGACCCTAAAAAGTGCCAGACTTCTTAAAGGCCCTCAGAACTTCACTATTGCTGTGGAGTTGCAATAGTAGTACTGTATTCAGATCTCTGTAGTATTTAGATACTACAGAGATAGGCAGTATAAAACTCAAAAATAGATGGACAGACTTAACTTTATGCATGTGAATATATCCTATTAATTTCAATTCATTTTCAGTGGTACTTTGGTTAACTTGCATGTGCATTGAAGAGTAATGCCATGTTTGTGAATACTGAAAGATTTGAGGTTCATATAATTATTAGGATGGTAAACACTGAGAATTTGCAATGAGGTATGAAGGACACTTTGGGTCTTCCGAAGTGATGCACGGTGCACTTTGGAGTGTCCCCCATAGGAGAATCCCCAGCATGCCCTGCATTTAACTGCAATAGCAATCTAGCAGTCCAGATGGTCCACAGTTAGATCTTTCAGATACAACAAGGGTGTCCAAACTTTTTTCAAAGAGGGCCAGGTTTTATGAAATGAACATGCGTGAGGGCCGACCATTTTGCCTGACATTCTTTGAACCATTAAAATTAAACGCAAATTAACTATTTTATGCAAAGTTTATTGCAAATGGCATACTTTTCATTTCGTCACCTGGATGACAAATCTAAACAGGTGTTAAATCACTCTGACAATCTAAACAGGTGTTAAATCACTCTGCCTTTCATATCTGAAGGCCAGATGAAAAAAAAATCCAGGAAGCTGAAATATATGTCAGGAACATTGTAAAGTACATTACATATTATTGGTAATAAAGGTTGTCTGTCAACTTTTAAGTTCAAAAAATATGAACAGGAACATAACACCAAGTATACATGTTGTGTCCAAATATATTTATAACTGATTTAGACCAACTGACATTGAGATTTTACAATGTAGTCATCTCAATACATATGGATTCATTGGGGGCCATAAAAGATAGATATTGCCAAATTACCTGTGGGGCCGTATTAAACTGGAACACGGGCCGCAATTGGCCCCCGGGCCGGACTTTGGACATGCCTGAGATACAACAAGGCTCTTTTGAGATCCTTCAAAGAGAAAGAGAAGGATGCACCTATTGAGGGCCAGGGAAGCCTGTTCCGGTTGTGGAGAGAGAAGGGGGCAATCAAGGAAAGTAAGATCTGGAAGGCAGCACAAAGGAACTGTTTGAGATCGCAGGTTGGAAGGGAGCCTGTCAGGGTTAGATGAAGCTGTCAGATAAGCAGATCAGAAAGCAGAGTGCCTTGTACGATGTTCTTGGAGTTTTAAAAATAGGCTTTTTGGGGGTAGAAAGGTGAACCTCAGAACACTTGCTTAGCCAAACTCATTTATCTGTCTTTCTGTCGGTCTGCTCATCTCTCTTTCTTCCTCCATGGGCCCCAGGATCCTGTAACCTATGGACCCTCACATTCGCTGCAAGTTCTAGGGCTAATACTAAACCAAAGAGGATCAGCCTAGATTTCTGAGGTACATGTGCATGGAACATTGTCCCCATAAGAAACTTAAATGTGCAGAGTAGTCCCTTGGTAAATGCAGCAAATCAGACTGTATGGTCACTCTTCAAATCCTAGAATGGTCATCTTATTTACTTTCCATGAGTGGCTACTTACAGTCATGCCACTTTTACACTCTCAAAGTTTCTGTCAGGCTAAAAGTCATATTACCTATTAAAAAGTGAGTGAATAAGAAGTGGCTGGTGTGGAGGTAAGGAAGCTTGGGAGGGATCTGAAAAGTATTCCTCCTGTTCCTCAACCAAGAGGACCATGGTCATGATTCAGAACCTTATAGATGGAAAATTTTAAAGCTAGAGAAAAAGGGAGTAAGAGACTTCAGGGACCTTTCCTCAGTCGGGAAATGGAAATACATTCTAGAAAATGTAAATCCCTCAAAAAGGAGTGCAGTTAGCCTGCTGACCATTAACATTATGGACATTTTTCTAGGTGGACACTGATGGAGATGGATACTTGAACTGCCTGCAAGTTTTGATGGCTCTGAAAGAAACTGTCCCTTCAAATGCACTAACTGATGCTGAAGAACTTTATATATATAGGGTAATCAAATCCAAAGCAGTCTCTCTCTTTATGCTTTGAATGATACGGGAGTAGGGGGAAAATGCGTTGAATATGTATACCATCATGCTTCTTCGTGTAATACTTGATACATCTATAACACATTCCATCCAAGGATCTTGAATCAAACTGTGCCTTCTAACATCCATGTGATGTAGTTAATCAGTATAGTACTTACTTTACCGATGGGGAAGCTGCACAGAGATGTGAGGGTGTCAAAAAGTGCCCTCTAATACTAAGAGGCTCTCTATCTCACTTGTTGGCCTAATGGGCTCTCACACAGCTAGTGGTACCTACCTCAAGATGTGAGGGATTCTTAATGTTCCATGGTTGTCTTATGCTAACCTTGGTTTAGGTTATTGAAGCCTACCACCCTAGTCTCTAACTGCAAATCAGCTTGGTTCTTCCTGGGACACTAATGGTCAATAAGACACCACAGGAATGAATGAGCATGTTAGGAGTGGTGATAGAATAGTCCTTTTTGTCTCTCTCTATAATACAGTAGTAGTAGGAATAAAAGACTTGCAAGACCCAAGTAAGCCAGAAAACACTAGAGGTTGATGAGTGGGTGCCAGACCTAGTTAAGAGATAATAGGCAGGAAAAGCGGCGAGGAGTCCTGTGGCACCTTATAGACTAACTGAAATGTAGGCGCATAAGCTTTCGTAGGCAAAGACCCACTTCGTCAGATACATCTGACGAAGTGGGTCTTTGACCACGAAAGCTTATGTTCCTACACTTCAGTTAGTCTATAAGGTGCCACAGGACTTCTCGCTGCTTTTGCAGATTCAGACTAACACGGCTACCCCTCTGATAATAGGCAGGAAGCCACTCATAAAAATTTGATTTTTTTTTAAATGTGGCGATAATCATTTCCAAATTGATTCACATAATTTTAGTCATGCTGGTGTGAACAGAACCAATAGGAAGCATGGAAGTAGAGGAGCTGTTCAGACGCTCTTGCACAGATTTATTTTTTAAATGGGGGCTTCCATTTTGAACAGTGACTAATGATTTGAGTGCCTAACTTGAGACCATATAAAGGAGACTGGGTTTCATAAAGAGCTGAGGTAAAGTGTTTCTAGCGGGGCATTCCAAATCATTAGTCACTATTGAAAACATAGACCTTCATCTGAATTTTGGACCAACCCACGCACATTAGTCCCCATGCACAACTCTAGACCAGGCAAGTTGGCTTAAGGTACGCCATCCAGCTACGCAAAATGTAAGCCAATTCCAGCTACACTGTGGGAGGCCAATGGGAGCACATGCTCCCATTTGCTTCCCTTACAGAATGAAGAGTAAAGGGCACCAGTGGCGGTTGCCCTCAGCATTCGAATGGGGGAGGGGGGTTAGAGGTCTACACTAGACCTGCTAAATTGAAGGCTAGAAGATTGACCTCTGGAGGGCTGATCTTCTCTGTAGTGTAGACATGCCCTTGATTACGTTGTATTTTTTGAAAGACTCAGATATTAAATAACGGTAATTAATATTTTAATTTTGCTTAAATGTTCATTTTATAGCATGTCAGGTAAGGATTATGGTACATTGTGAAAGTCTGCTGTTGTCCAACATAAAAAGATCCAGTTTTGCTTTTCTTTAAAAATCCAGTCCTTAGCTGTGCCAGCTTACATCAGTTGAGAATCAGGCCCTTAGTTGTTTGCCTTTTTTCAGCCTTTCTATCATGATCCTGTTTGTAACATACAAACTCTCTTGACAAAGAGCATAAACTTGGTTAACAGAAAACCGGTACCAGGAAGCACAGAAATAAAGAAAAGTGTAAAATCCTCTATGATTTAATCTGAACCTTACAAAGGCTTTGTTTCTTTGGACACTTTCTTTGAAAAGACTAGTACTTCAAACAAAAACACAGGGAAATTAGTAGGAAGTGATTATGGAGACAGGAAATCTGAAAGCCATGAAACTGTAAATAAAGTGTTATTTGTACTACTGTATTTCGTTCCCTGCTTTACATTCTCAGCACGAAATGTTAGATAAGACTTTAACACTAAAGCAGGGGATGAATTTCATATGATAAAAAAAGGAAAATCATTTAGATAAATTACAGTGGCCCTGGATTGAACTGAACACATTATTAGTTAAAATTTGGAACTCCCCAGCCAGGTCCAATTGCAATTTGTTTATGGTGGCAAATTATGTGACTTATTCAGACATCAAACACATATCAAATGGCTTAATTTTAGTATTCCAAAGCAATGGCCTCATGGCAGACACCAATGCTAATATCATTATACAACTCATATTGCATGATGACAATGCAGTTTGGTGATGCCTACCTTTATTGTTTACTTTTATTGAATCTGAGAAGCTCGTCTTTTCCATCTGTCAGCATTATTGTGCGTGATCCACAAATAAATCTAAAAAGGCTGCATTACACTATACACTCATACCTTATTTAACGAGTGGTCTTTTATAGTAATAATAAAAATGAGTACAGACTTTAATTACTTCCATTATACCATGTTTGCTTTGTCAGTGGTTTCTATTTTATGAAAAGTTAAACCGCAAAGTTGGCCCAGCAAATTTTGTTGTTTGTGCATGTACCTTTAGTAAACATCCCCTTTTTCCTTCCCTCAGTGTTCATGCATTTTGTTCCCTGTTAACATTAAACATCACTAAGATAGAAGATAAGCACAAGGTACTTGAGCAGGACTATATGTACTGTGCCAACATTTTGTATAAGACAAGCTTGGCACAATGGAAACTTTAAAGGGACACTTTATTATTGTTGGCTTTTGTTGTGAAAGGCTAAAAAGGGAGGATCCAGGAATAGGTCTTGTGGGTAGCATTTAATGCCCGAATACAAAGACAATTGGAAAACACACACACACACACACACACAAAAACTACCCTCCTCCTCTAGTTTCATTTGATAGATTTTTAGATCATAGCCACAAGTTTCTATACAGAAATTGTGCATTCAGCATGAGGCATAATCAAAGGGGCTTTGTAATTAAAAAGAGCATAATAGTTCTATATATTTTAAGGTCTTTGCACAAAGGTTACCTGTGGGTTCTCGGTAGGCACACATGTTATAAGACTGTGTTGTCCTTAGTGAAAGCTATACTGTCCCAAGAGGGACAGAGAAGTAGGTGTGGTTTGTTTATTTTTTAAAACCAAATTTTGATCAGAATGTGAGCAAACACAGGAGTGGATTCAGCTTCCATTGTCCTTTCCCCTCCATGATAAAAGGATTTAGAAGTAAAAGTTGGCTCTTTATAAAGATTTTTGGGAGAATTCTGTACAGTCTGGTAACAATTTTTTTCATGTTATTATGATGCAAAGTTTGAAAGGAGCTTCTTTACTGATGTCAGTACAGCTGAGAAAGCCAGCTTGTATTTATGTTTATAGAGAGTTTGCAGCAGTAGAGAATTGGAGTAAATAGAAGACAATACGAGAGGAGGGACAAGAGGACAAAGAAAGCCCATTTCAATATAATATAAATGAATCATGAATGATTCTCTGTATTATTATTATTGTTCATATTACAGCAGTACCCTAAGAGACAGTTGATGCAATAATAACTTGCTTTGAGAGTATTTAGCTAAGGATACAGTTACTGCAGTTTAAAATATGGACATTCTGCAAAGATGTGCTGTCATAGCATAACTTGAAAAATAGTCTAAAAATCATACTTGAGGAATACACTGTATATAACTTCTGGGTTTAGTCTGTTGTTAGGGAGAGGGAATTACACTGACTTCCCAGTTGTGTGGCAGGGGGTACTTGTGCATTAGGCAGAAGTTTTTGTGTGGTCTCCTGTACACTGTTTTAGTGAATTCTCTTAAATCACTTTCCTCTCTGGTATACATATGTGCAAGTGACTCTATGTGAATCAGGTGCAAAAGGTTTGGAGTGATCCTAAAGGCCTACAATTCAATGTAGTGTTTATCATTGATTGAGGCTTGTTGTCAGGTGTCTTGCTGAAATTGCTTTTGTTTGTTTTGCTGGCTATCCTAATAAATCTTATCTCTGCTTTGATCAGAGCTTATTATCTTTTTTTTTTTTTTTTTTTTTTGGTAAGTAAGGCAGCAATCTGTTCATTTTAAACCCTTCATCATCTTTGCTCTCTCCATCTCTGTTTCCCCAGATCTTAGAGATTGTTGACTATTATGTAACAGATGGCCTGACAGACCTCCGACTCTTTGCAGTGATGGCTAGCTTGGCACAGAAAATAGCAGCACTGGAGTAAGTATTCAGAGGCATAGATGCTCATGAATTTTAACTCGTCACTGACAAAGGAATTTGAGGGGGCAAGAGCAGATCTATCAGTAGCTGAAGTAATTAAAGACTTAGGTTGCTCTCTAGTGTAGCATATCCCTTCACTGTTACACACTGGGCAACATTTTCAGACTTCTGAATATAGGTATAGGAGCAGAACGTTTAGCCTCTTGCAAAAAACCTGCAACACAGACAGAAACTTTCTTTTCCGACGTATGTTTGGTGTGCAATATCTAGTTTCAGAGAGCTCTGCTAGTGCTATTAAAGTAGAAGTCAGACAAGAAAGGGAAATTCTATGCACACACATAATCTGCACAGGGCCATAGAAAACAGGCCGTATAATTGCAAGTGCACCGTATGTCATACTATAGGGCCAAAATTCTTTCCCCAAGGGTTCCCCCATGTCCACCAGCCCCACCTCACACACACACACAGACACATGCATGCATTGCCCTTCCCCCAGCTCATCTCCAAAATCACTCTCTATGTTGAGGGGCAGGGAATCCCAGGGCACCTCTTGTAGCACTTTGAGGCACGGACTTCTCCAAAATCTCCTCCCATCCCTGCAAGTGTTAAATGAGTTAACAATGTGGAGTGTATCCAGAGGGGACTGCAAAACTCAGGGACACTAGCCAATAATTCCAGAATCAGTAAAGTATTTCCTAAGTTCAGAGTGTCCTAATAGCGTCCCTTAGTAACATTACATTGCTGGGTTTTAATTTCAGTGACGGGGTTGAAATGATAATTTTAGTAAGAGTTGGAAATTCTAAGCTCAGAATTTCCCTGCTTTTTGGGGTTGTGCTGAAGATCACACTGCAGAATCTTCCTATACAAAGTAGCTTGCATTTGGGATGAGAATTCAACACCATTGTTCATTGTAAAATTGGCGTCTCCATCTCTGTCTGTTGTATGTCCCAATGTCAGGGCTATGAAGCAATTCCTGAAAAGAAACTTGAGTACTCAGTCTGGGGCAGAGACAGGGGAAGTCAGGGCAAGTGTGTCAATTGCCTGGATAACTACATGGTGACACAATTACTTTGTTAATTTTTTTTTGTACAGAAAAGGCCATAGACCAAATCTTCCAATAACCAGAAAGTCATGTTTCTTTCCTAAGCTAGACTGGTGCCTGATCCCAGGTTCAAGGAGAGTGTGGGATGAGGTAGGGGTGGAAGGGAGGGATAGCTCAGTGGTTTGAGCATTGGCCTGCTAAACCCAGGGTTGTGAGTTCAATCCTTGCAGAGGTTATCTAAGGATTTGGGCAAAAATTTGTCAGGGATGGTACTTGGTTCTGCTGTGAAGGCAGGGGACTGGACTTGATGATCTTTCAAGGTCTCTTCCAGTTCTAGGGACTTTAGTAGCTGTTAATTCAAGGCAATTAATTTAGTGTTAATACTGGAACATAGCAATTTTTCAGTTAACATCCTGACAAAAATCGTAGGAGTTTTCTGACAAGTATACTGGACTACTTTAGTTTGTCAGGGAAAGTGCAAACAGCAATAAAAAACATTTTTCTTTATTTGTTGTTGAATTTATCATGTTTAGACCTGCTGTTTCGTGAACTCTAGATAAGTGATCAAGTAGGAATAACCTGATTTCTAAAATCAATAAAAGACAAGTGCAGTCTAGTCATTTGCTCCTCTATGATTCAGATGTTCCAGTTTCAAAATAAACAGGTGTACAAAATAAAGGTCATTTTGATCAGATGTCACATTTGAGAATGACTTGAGGGCAAATAAATGCAAGTAACAGATTCTTATTAGATCTTTCTGATAATAAATAGCCTGATCACTAGGGACAGTCTGTTAGTGTTGGCCCAGTGGGTCAGATAACAATGCAGACTTTCTCTCTCTTCCCTCTGCTGTGACCTAGTCCATCTGCTTCTCTCTGGCCATATGGTAAGAAGTATCTGAGATGGGAGACATTACAGTTTTATGCATCTGAATGTTCTTTGCTTTCAGTGAAACTTCAGAGAAACAGCATTCCTCTGAATACTTTTTTGAAAGAGAGTTTTTTTTTCCTTTGGTTGGGTTTTTTTCAGTTTAAACTAAGCTTGCTTCAACTGGGTATCTAACAATGAATTAGGGATCATAAGGAGGCTAGCCGTATATTGCCTTCCTTTCTTACATGTCATGAAATATTTTATTTTAATGCATGTTTTGAGAAAGAAAACAGATATCAGCACATGTGAGGATTTTGAATTAGTGTTAGCATGCTAGTCACCCTCAATACCATTATATGCAATGCTGTCTAATCTGAATACTGTCCTTATGCTCAGCAAAGCAAAGGAAATGTATAATCTGGAGGGCACAGAACTGTGGGCTTGATCTTCTCCCCCTTTCCCCCAATTATTTTTAATCATTTGAAGTGGTGCAAAGGAAGCTAGAAAGCATGTGGATCCACCCAGCTGAGGATTCCCCGGGCATGGGGGAGTCCCACTCCCAAGGCAGTGTAGCTGGTTCCTATGCCCTCCATTACACCCCCTGGGGCTCGTCTACACTGGCCCCTTTTCCGGAAGGGGCATGTTAATTTCAACTATCGTAGTAGGGAAATCCGCGGGGGATTTAAATATCCCCCGCGGCATTTAAATAAAAATGTCCGCCGCTTTTTTCCGGCTTTTAGAAAAGCCGGAAAAAAGCGGCGGACATTTTTATTTAAATGCCGCGGGGGATATTTAAATCCCCCGCGGATTTCCCTACTACGATAGTTGAAATTAACATGCCCCTTCCGGAAAAGGGGCCAGTGTAGACGTAGCCCCTGTGTAGTATCATGAAGGGGGTATTGCCAGAATTTGCTCCATTCTGGCCATCCTGAGCCTGGTGAACAAGTCTTTGGAGACCACTGCCAGACAGCATAGCTTAAGCAGCACCCAGACCTCCCATGATGGATTCTCCCTCTTTTTTGTTACGTCAAACATTCTTTGTTTACGTGTGGCACACCAGGTATAATTCTCTTCTTAGTGCATGTTCAGATTAGTCCTAATGCGAGTTCATCCAAGACATCCATATGTCGTGAATATACAATATTTCTCTTCAATTATCCTTTTTCTAGAAGGAACAAGTAATTATTAGTGAGACGCTAGCATAATAACACGTCATTTATTATATTTTCATATAGTGTCCAACATTGTTGGGCTCCTGTCTTGAGGGTGAACCTTAGGCTAGGCATTACTGAATTAAAAATATTAACTAATATTAATCAATTTAATAATGGAAGTAGTTACTATCAGACAAGCTGGAATAGTTATACAATGATTAAAATAAGAAAACAGTTTTTAAATTGTATGGCTACGTCTACACTGCAGGCTTCTTGTGCAAGAACTGTTTTGCGCTAGAGTTCTTGCGAAAAGGTCTTGCACAAGAGCACGTCCACACTGCCATGTGCTTTGGTGCAAGAGATGTGCTTTTGTGCAAGAGTGTCCATGGCAGTATGGACACTCTCTTGTGCAAGAAAGCTCTGATGGCCATTTTAGCCATAGGGGTTTCTTGTGTAAGAAATTTCTGTTGCCCGTCCACACTGCCTTCTTGCACAAGAGCTCTTGTGCAAGAAGGCAGTGTGGACGGGCAACAGAAATTTCTTACACAACTCATTACTGTAAATTTCCTTGCGCAAGAACGCGCGTGCAGTGTAGACACTCCACTAGTTTTTCCGCAAGAAAGCCTGCATTATAGACGTAGCCTATGGGTACAAGGGTTTGTCTTTCAAGCCTCCTTGGATTTTTACATTCCTCCCATAAGACAAAATTTTAGAATGTATCACTGTTATGCATCAGCAGGTGGGCTTGGTGAAGAGGTTGCTCCAAGAATTAGATAAGCATGGGGTTCTACAACCTTGTTGTGGGGTTCTAGGGAATAAATATAGGTGTCATTGACCTCCAATCCCACCCCTGTGCATTAGAAGCACTTTGATTTCTCTGCATCTAGGCAACAAAGTGACATGTGGGACCTACATGGAATTCGAGAAAATATTTTTCATCCCATAACTGATGATGACCCAATGGAAGCTACCCCATCTTTAAGTCTGACACTGGTTTTCCACTAAAAGCCTAATTCCCAGCTTTCATGAACTACCCCCTTTACCCCCCACCCCAGCAGAAACCAATGCCCCTGCCCCTGGACTAGAGAGAGGTGTGCAACCGTAGGGGAAAGCAGAGTGATTTATTCATGTTAGAAACCTAAAATGCTTATAATTTTCTAGATGCAATTCTTTGCGTGATTAAAGTTTTCCATGAGGTTCCTTCTCCTTTGACTTCTGTGCAGAACACTCACACATCCACACATTACCAATGGAGTTGTTGTAGACAACCAGATTGGAGCATCAGTTTAGTCAGAATAATAAGACCATTCAAAGCAAAGATTTCCCATGTAAACGTTCAGAACTCTTAGAAAACCAAACCAAACCAAACCAAACCAAACCAAACCAATTAAACAGGGATATTCATAATAAATGTATTCTTTGAAAAGAAGTTAAAGCTAAATGTGTTTCTACAGAGCAAGTGAATGCCCACCAAAAATTACAATTTCTTTATCCCTCCAAAAATCTACTCCTTCAAACATTCTCCACACTGCCCCTCCCCCCCAAAAAAGAAGAAACAAAGAACCAATTTATTATTTATTTTGTGATAGCCACTAGGAGCCTGAGTCATGAACCAAAATCCCATTGTATTCAGTATGGTACAAGCCCAGAGCAAGAAAATGATCCTTACTTTGGAGAGTTTACAGTCTAAATAATAGATGCAGGCAGTTCCTCATCATACAGCTCTTCATCGGTCACTTTCATGACACCCAATTAACATCACTCATCCAACTTTAACTTTGCCCTGTAAATTTGCAATAATATGTATATATTTCAGAACAACTAGCCGATTGTATATTCTCAAGAAATCCATTTCCAGTATGCAGTATCACTAACTTGTACTATATCATTATCTCCTGTGGAAAACCTACGTACATTAGTGGCTATAGAATATATCTAATATAGTTAAATTAGAAATTTGCAAGATCTGCATAAACTCACCGCAAACTCCAAAGCCATATAATCAAAATATTTCAAAATACCAAACACATCAATCTTTCCAATGCCAATCAAAAGTATAGTCTGCTTTACCAACACAACACACAGTGAAAGAACTTGCAGTGCTCTGACATAACTTCATGTGCCCTAGTACTATATTTCTTTAGAAAACTTTCTTAAGCAATATATAAAAATAATAGTATAGATATCCAATGGCCTTTTTCATGACATAAGACCTGCCCTAACAAATCTGTGGTCCTTCTTATCCGGTGCCCTGTTTCCAGTAATAATGAGAACCTGATTCTTCAGAGAGAAATGCAAAAAGTCAGGAGTTATGTAAAATTACCCCCAAGAAAAAATTCATTCCACCTCCCATCAGATACAGGTTGGCTTATGCCTTATAGCATGATGATTTAACTCCCTTCCAAACTCTAGCTTTTGAATCCTTTCTACTGTAATTCTGCATGTTCTCACTATCTATCAAAATGTCCAAAGCCAAAACAAACAAATGGGTAAAGCTGAGGTTGGATGGGAAAGTGGTAGTGGGTGGTGAAGATGAACTGGCTGGATTCCTCATCTGTCTGTTTGCAGACTTTAATCGGTTAGCTGGTTTTGTTGGGGTTTTTCATTGTAGATTTTTTTAAAAAGTGAGTGTATTTATTTATTTTTAAACTGGATTCACATTCTGACCCTTGGTACACATTTTTACAATGTGTTTTTGTTTGTGAATATATTAAAAGGACTAACAGCAGTTTGATGCCAGTCTATATAACACAAAGAACGAGACATGGTGCAAGCTTGAACTTGCTCAAAGCTGACTAATGTTAGACTGTTATCTTGTCAGTAAGAATTGCTTTGAGTCACTATCTGTTCACCAACTCTGATTAATGATCATTTAACCGTACTGTCAGCCCTATTTAAATCTGAGTGTTGCCAGTTGCTTCCTTCGTTTGACCAGCCAATAGAATCGGGGGGAGTCATTCATGCATACTATTGTCCTAGTGGCTCTGGGCCTATAGCCTCCCAGTTTAATAGGGCATTCAGAGCTCATTAGTGAGGAAACACATCAGGAGTGACCGCTCCAGTGCCACACGTTGCAACTAATAGCCTTGCCGAACAGAATCGTTTCTGTTTCTGCTCATTTGTTGTTGAATCCTTTCAGTGTCAACAAGTGGTCCTGTCGGCAGGAGCCTGCCATTCTGCCCAACAGTTTTAGCCGTTGCTCTCCTGAGTCAGACTTGTATCCTCCTCCATTGTTTCATCAACAATGGAGCCTGAGCAATCACAAAGGCTTCACAGCCATTCATCATCAGCTCACGAATTCTCTGGGCAAGGTTACCCGCCAAACTTTTGGACCATCGTGTTGGCACAGTGTGTGAATAGCCGTGAAATGCAAATAGCTTCTGCAGTTTACACTTTTGTTTCAAATCCCATGGATGGGGTGGAAGAGGGAACCTTGAAGTAGCTCTGGCTAAAAAGAAAATAAGATCCTATAGAAACAGGACAGAACAACTGGAATGAGAGATATAATGAGGACTACCCCATCCCTCAGAAAAAAATTACACAGGGGTAGGTGTATGTAGAGGAAGGTTTCATTGTGTTTTTGGCTGACAAGTCTCTTATGATGCCTGCTGCATGAGGATGCACAGATAGCGCCCGCAAAGCAGGACTCCAAGGGTGCGTCTACCCTGCACCCTTCCCTCGAAATAAGCTACGCAACTTGTGCTATGCAATTTGCGCTATGCAAATTGCGTAGCTTATTTTGAGGTTTAATAGTTTATTTCAAAACATAGTGCCAAATTTTGAAATAAAGTGCTATTCTGAAACATCCCGTAACCCTCATGGAATGAGGGTTACAGGGACGCTGGAATAGCACGCCCATAATTTCCAAATCTATTTTGAAATAACAGGCTGCTTTAAAGACATGGAATAGCTATTTGTGAAATAGCTGCACAGTGTAGACGTAGCCCAGGAGTACAGGCTCCTTTCACAGGCTTCTCAGATCCTTTCTCTTACTCCCCCTTATGGTAATAGTTAATATTTCTTTTGTGTTTATTGGAAATGTATCTGGTAAAAGGCATATTCAAAAATATAACATTTTTTATTTGCATTATGGTAGGACTTAGGGGACCCTCTGAGATATATACACTGTACAAAGAAGTATTCAGCACAGCCCCTGCCCAAAGGTGCTCAAACAGGCAAGTGGTGGGAGAAGGGAGTGTTAGTATCCACATTTTCAGCATGGGAAATTGAGGCACAGGGATTAAGTGACATATCCAAGGTCGAACAGTTTGTGGAAGATACGGTAATCACCTTTGTTATGTGGAAATGTAGGAAAACGTTATGCAAAATAAGGGACAGTACTGTATTTTAGGGACATTTTAGGGAACCATCATTTCCCTCAGCATATCATGTGTTTTTCTCTCAAATGTATATTTCTACTGTTCTCAAATATACAATGCAATTATCATAAGGTTCATTTAATGTTTAAAATATGTATCGGTTTTAATACATTTCAATACATCTGAAAATAACTGATGGGTGGTTACCCTAGTGGCAGAGCCATGAATTGACAGCAGATCTCTTGTGTCTCAGTTCAGTGTCTTTACTGCAAGACCATGCTTCTGCACCTTGGTGTGAAGTGATTGGATTGAATCCCAGATGGCTCAGTCAGAAATCCTCTTTGACTTATGGAAATTTTGTGTGCCTGAGGACTTGAGGATATGACCCAACAAGGTGCTTTGTTGAATTAGGAACTTGGGTCCAAATCCCCAAATGTATTTTGGGTTCTAACTATCATTGATATCAATAGAAGTTATTCAAAATACCTTTGAGGATCTGAGCCTTAGTGTAAGGGCAAGATCCAGCCCTGACTTAAGTAAATCAGAATAACATTTGGTCTTATGGGTCATATTTTGTCTTCATATACTTATCAAGCTCTCATTTACTTCAAGGGAAGTAGTGAATCCATATCCTGAGGTTCCAAGAGCAGAATAAGAGTGGAACATGCTGAACTTTAATGCTAACAAGTAGTCCTGTGGCAGCTTAGAGACTGACAAAATATATATAGTATCATGAGCTTTCATGGGCAAAACCCACTTCTTCAGATGAGCATTGGGTTTTGTCCATGAAAGCTCATGATACTATATATTTTTGATAGTCTCTAAGTTCCCACAGGAACTCTCGTTGTTTTGAAAGTTACGTACTTACATGGCTAACTCTCTGAGACTTTTAATGCTAACTGGAGTTGGGCCCAGTTTCAACCAGGATGGTTGTTCCAATCCAAAAGTTTTATTTCAGAATCACCTGTAGCGCTATGTGAATAAATGAATTAGAGAATGATAAAGAATGAAATGGAATGTGCCAGCTGTCATTTATTTCTCTTTTTTATAGAGCACTAAGTAGTTTAGAAACCATCAAGAAAAAGTATGATCATGTTATGTAAAACTGCCTCTTTTTTATTTCTGTTGGTGATATTTTGCAGCAATTTTATGAGATCATTGATTGGCCGTATGGATTTTAAAGCCTTGGAACTGAAAATGTACAATGCGAGGGTGAGTGAGCTTTTCCACTGTCCTTTAAAAACACCTGGTCTTACAGAGAAAGGAAACCCCACTTTCTTCGTTAGGTACCCCCCTTGAGTTTGCTATTGAACTGGATTTGAGCTCCGCTCTAAAGCCCAATTATTCAAAGACTTACATGCGTATAACCTGATATCTGCAAGCAGTCTCCTTGAATTCCAAGTGATTGTTCATTTGGTTAAAGTTAGGCATGTGCTTGCTGAATTGGGACCAGATATGTATTGTTTTGTGGGATTGAGCCCTAAATTATACATGTATGATTTGTGTATTGGGGTCTAACTGAAGGCAAATTAGATGCAACTCAGTGGGTAGGATAACTCAGCAGAATGTTTGTGTTCCTTGCTTTTTATTTTAAATGTTTACTTTTGTTCCCTAGCTTTAAAGATCACATCTAGATATAGAGCATTTGGCCAAATTTGGTAAATGATGGAAAACCTCACTTTTAAAACAAGAGTAGAAAAATAGAATTAGAACATATTCTCTAAGGAAGAATCTTGCAAGATGATGTGTTAAACAGCTAAGTGATTCTTAACCAGCTCTTAGAATTATATATGCCCTCACCAGCCAAACACCTAATGTATTTTTTGTCACAACAGCCCAAGGAGGTAGGGCAATCCTAATCTCCCCATTTCATAGATTTGGAACTGAGGCATAGAAAGAGACTAAGGGTATGTCTACTCAGCAAAGTTATTTCGAAATAACAGCCAAACCGCTATTACGAAATATATTCAAAATAGTGGAGCGCTTATTTCGAATTTGGTAAACCTCATTCTACTAGGAATAATGCCAAATTCGAAATAGCTATTTCAAAATAAGTGCTGTGTAGACACTTATTTTGAAATAGGGGGCCTCCAGCCTTCCCAGGGTGCCCTGGTGGC